CCCACTGCCCCGTGGCAGGACACGCCCCCCACGCTCAGGGCAGCTGCAGCGCCGGCTCCTGCTTGCTTCCATGACTTTCTGTCCCTTCTCCGTATCTGGCGCTGGGCATGCAGCTTGTCCTCTTGCAAGCTTAGCTATGCCTGTTAAGGAAAAACAATCCATTTATCCAGCATTTCTAGGTGTTCATAATGGGAGGTTTTTCATGTTTTCTTAAGCTTACCTTCTTGCCAGATGTGGAAATCGCTTCCTAATTTCTCGACTTCTTAATCAAGGGCTTTGCGCTGGGGCTGAGCTGCACAGGGATATATGTTGACAAACGGAAGCATAACCCCCTTTTCAGCTCCTGGATTCCCTCTTTAGCAGTTTTGTGGAGGAAGGCCGTCTCTGGGAGTGAAAGGTTCTCGCTTCAGTCCGAAATCTCATTAGAGGCAACAACAGGAAACTCTCGGTCGCAATTTTTTAGATTCCTAGATTGATGCTTCTCCTATTACAGTTTCACTAAATCATAGTAGCAGCCACCACCCTGGAACAGAGAAAAGGCAAAATTCAAAACCAGCAGGCCAACACCAAGCCAGGAATTGCACGGACACTGCAGACAAATTCTCCTGCAGTGTTTGTCATCGTGAAGTGAGAGCATCGTGGCCATGTTGTGTTTCTGCACTTCATTTCGGTTTTTGCGAGATCAACGTATTACGGTATTAGGGAAAGCTTGAGTTTTGCTAATACAGTTCAAGTTTTATATCGCTCATTCTTATCAGATTGGGGGGCTTGGTGGAGAAGGGAAGATTAAGGGGGTGGGTGGAAGTGAAATTCAGAGAGCTTATCTTCTGTGCAGAGACTCAAGCAGCAGCACTGCAAGTTATATCCCTAAATCACATCCCTCTTTCGTCCGATCTGCTTTGATGAACGTTAGATGTCAACTGTGTGAACGGTTAAAAATGCGTAAGACTGAAAGGGTGGACACTCGGCTTAGCCCGTAGCCTGGACAGCAACAACGTCTACCACGCTGGAGCGTGGCCCGAAAGGTGAGCAACGTGCCACAGGGTGATGCAAGGGCAGTCGAGCATCTGCTTCCCAACGCGACAGACCCTTGTCTAGCGGGGAGAACCACAGGGCAGGAGCGAGAAGAGCCCACACGTCTCCCCTTGACTGCGCTCGTAGGAGGTTTTGAGATCAGCCGGGCACCCTGTAGGCTGGGTGCTGCCTTCACCCTGCCGCCCGGCTCCGCTCCTGCTCTGTCCGTGCCCCCGCTCCCATGCCCTGCAGTCCAGTCTCGACTCCCATCCCGGAGTCGAGTGTACGGCCCTATCTCAGTCTGTGTGTGCTGCTATAGCCGAATACCCGAGCCTGGGTAACGTATAAAGAACAGACGTTTATTGTGCACAGTTCTGGAGGCTGGGAAGTCCCAGATCAGGCGCCAGTGTCTGGCGGGGGCCTTCGTGCCGCGGCCTCGCACGGCGGAAGAGCCAGTTTTGCTGGAAGCCTCTCTCAGGGGGGGCCTTGATCCCATTTGTGAGGGAGGCCTGGTCACCTCTTCAAGGGCCCGCCTCTTACTGCCGTCATGTTAGCCACACCTGAATTTTGGTGGGGGCATGTCCAGACCACGCATGCCCCATCTAAATCGTCGTACCTGATCCTCCAGCGCCACCTCCCTCTCTGCATCCTGGCCAGACACAGCCTCCGCCCAGCCTCCCTGCACCTCGCACCCCTGCCCTCCGCCTGGAACACCCTCAGACCACCCCTCTGTGGTTTTGAGGCCACCGAGACGGCAGCTCCTCTGTGGAGCCGGCTTGGCCTTTTCCCCGTGGCTGGAACTCACCTCCCCCGCCTGGGCTCCCGGGCACTCGTTTGTGCTCCCTCTGCCGCCACCTCCACCTGTGCCCCTGGAAACTCACATCACTCTCTGGACCCGTTTTCTTGCCCATAAAATGAGGGGCTGAGGCTGGGTGTTCACTGTGGTCCCATCCAGCCCTGATGCCAAAGACCGTTTTCTGCTCTGAGACCGTTTGCTCATCTGTGAAATGGGCCGTATGGAGGAAGCAGCCTCACCTCTGAGCTGTGCTTAGCACCCACTCTTGCACCCACTGGGTGCCCAGGAGAAGGCTCTGGAGCACGTCTTTGTGCATCAGGATGCGCTGAGAGCTTCAGAGCGTTCCAGCCTGAGGACAGAGCTGAGCGATGCTCAGGAGAGAAAGGGCGTGGCTGGGGGTGCATCTGGGGTGTGTGTATCCGTGTTTGTGAATGGGTGCTCTGCAGACGTGTCCGCGTGTTTGTGGGTGTGTGCGTGTGATGTGTGTGAATTGTGTGCACACATGGGTGTGTGTGTAGGTCTGGTGTGAATGTGTGTGTATTTGTGGGTGCGTGTCCATGTAGGAAAGTGTGTCTGTGAGCATTTGTGTGGCTGTGTGAGCCTGAGGCTGCGTGTGCATGTCTGTGTGAGTCTGTGTGTGAAACTGTGTTTGTCTGCGTGTGCACGCACATGTATGTACCACGGCAGTTTTGCTCAGTCCCCAGAGATTCAGGGCTGGTGTTTCTACCCTGCTCTTTCGTCGCCGAGGAGGAGCCTGGGCTTTGGATTCGCCAGGTGTGGCTTCGGAGCGCGCGCCTTGCTCCCTCGTTTTCCGGGCTTGTCTTGAATAGACTGAGGGGCATCAGTGCCGCCTCCTCTGAGCTGTGTGTCATTCGCGTACAGCCCGGCTGCGCAGGTGGCTGTCCACAGCCCCGCCCATGCCGCCGTCGGCTGGTGGGTGCTCCTCCTGCGCGAGCTTGAGCCTGGCACTGCCTCGACGGTGTCAGGACACCCAGGTTGGCGTCCGACTGGGCCCTCAGCCCCACGCTGGACCCGGGGCGACCCAGGTCACCTCTGGGTTGTGAGGTTATTTACCTGTTGGTCCCTCAGTTTCCTCATCTGTAGAATGAAGGTGCTTCCTCCCCTACGGCCTGCCAGCCGCTGCGTGCCGCAGGCTGGACCCACTGCCCTGGACAGAGCCTGGAGACGCGTTTTCTAATCAGCCCGCCCCCCGCCTCTGCCCCGTTCACGCTGGTCCTCACTGGCGTGCCGCAGAGTCTGCACGGCGCTGCCCTGCGGTGAGCAACCACCTCGCACGCCTGTGCACACGCGTGTCCACGCGCCCGCTTCCGCAGACCCTTCGGTTTCAGTTTTGACATAAAATGACTCAGGTCTACCATATTGTCTGTGTTTCCTGTATTCACTTCAGGGGACACTGGGCCTTGGTTTTCCAAATGATTCTGTTGACCCAGGATGGGGAGTTGAGAAAGCTCGCGGGGAGGCAAAGCTTGGGTTTCCCGGGGAGGTGCCGGGCGGGGCTCGGGGTGCGCGGGGCGTCCGGGCTCTGAATCTTGGGCCCCCAGTCGCCGCCAGACCCTTAAGCTCTCCAGGCTCGTGTCAGAGAGAAATAGCACAAGCGAAGGAGGCCTCGCGAGGCCGTCACCAAGGATTAAAGAAAAGGGAACCTATGAGAGTGATCTGTGCCGCCGAAACCCCAAACGTGACGTGCGTGAGCCCTTGCTGTTCCCTGACCACATCCATCCGTCCTGCTCGGACTTCTGTGCCCGTTTGTTTACTTGAAGCCCAAGCGTGCCAGGCTGTCCCTACCGCCAGCAAGCCGGAACATCCTGACCCAGAACACCCTGACCAGACGGTGCCACGGCTGGGCAGGGCGGGTGGCGCTGCATGCAGAGAAGTGGGTTTCCCAGGACTTATTCTGGGCATGAACAGAAGCTGTGAAGGCTTTTTTCCTTTTCCACACAAGGACAGGCAAACCACTGGTACCTGCCTATCCCTGCAGACATTCGTGGGGAGAAGCGAGGCTGGAGTTTGCAGCAGCCCATGGGAGCGGCTGCCCTCGGGGGAGACAGAGCCCATCACCTCGAGGCTAAAATTTAATCCAAAGATAATATCTGGGTCTCCTAGAACATGGGCTGCACCTGTGTGGACTGAGTTAACTCTTTTTTTGAGACAGAGTCTCGCTCTGTTGCCCTGAGTAGAGTGCCGTGACTTCAGCCTAGCTCACAGCAACCTCAAACTCCTGGGCTCAAG